AAAATCACATAACCCGAATCAAACTTTTGTGTGTGTGTGTGTTCACTCAGATTCCAAGTTCATATTCATCAAATAAATTTTTTGGGCCGAATATAGGTTGGGCAATTCCAACTTTATCATTTGTTCTCGAATTTATACAACTGGTGAGTTGAAGAGCACATGAAGTGATCGAAAACTTCTGGTGATGATGAATAAGAGGTAGGCGACGACCGGTAGAGAAGAGAAAAATGCGGCTACCCAACGGAGGAGGTGATTGTGGAAAGAAGTGGAGTTTTGCGGAGTTTGGTTAACATCATTTGACTGTGAGGTAACTGGATGGTGGTCGAGGTGGACGAAGGAAGAATGAGGGAGGGAGTGGTGGTAGAGGATAGAGAGGAATGAAGATGAAGATAGATTGCCCATAAAAAATGAGGAGAGACTATCATCATTATTTCCTCTGTGCCTCCAATCTGCTCCGGGTATGGGTTTGGACGTAAATAATACGTGATTTATAGTTTTAATTACTTTTAAGGTATTAATCAAATATCTCATTTTTTAGGGGTAGTGGATCTAATTTCCCCATTATTATATTAAGACCTTGAGTATATTAAAAAAGCCTTCATAAAATTTGTGGGTAGATACTATTATCAATTGTATTATTATACAACTCTCAAATTATTAATCTAACAATTCTTTATTTCTACACATCTTATATGTTAGGTTAACATACATTTGGAATTTATTTCCTTAAAAGTACTCAACAAAAGATAAATTTTAGTTAAATCAAATCAATCATTCAAAAATATCTAATATTTCAACTGTGAAATATATCCCTAATAAACCAGTCTTGAGTTTACTCAACAAGTTAAGATCGATTTAGGACTCTTATTTTTCACTATAATGATGGAAAGAGAATTATAAATTTACTTAATATCTTAGCAAATGATTTATCATGTAAAGGTCTCATAATAATAATAATAATATATATTTTATCGTACATCTAGTATACAAATAAACATAGATATAATAATATGGACAATTATGGATTAATTCAATTTAACTCTGCTGAACCAAAGGGAAAGCTAGTTTGTCACCCCTTAGGGGGTATTGTATTGACTTAGTATCAATGTACCATTTCCATGGTCTCCTAATCTTCTTCCATCTCCGGCTAAAACCTGCATTCTATACTAATTGACATGTAGGTCCAATTGAATTTGATACGCATGCCCATAATAATAACGGATTCGCATATCTAAAATAAATAAAAGCTCATAGGCCCACAAAACAGCAAGAATAAAATTAACCATTCAACACATCCACATGATTGGGTCCATAATTATCCACTAATTAAATATATATCATATTAATGTATTCTTATATAATACATAATATTATATGCAAATAAGCTTCAAATTTCGAGCAATTATAGTTGTCTAAACTGATTTAGATAGATGGATCAAATAATTAATTAATTTAATTAGCGGTTTTATTTAATTAAAATCATATTTTAAATAAATATCAAAATAGAGATCAACTCTAATTCCGACAATATATTAGAGTGTATAATTTGATTAAAATCACATTTTAATCAAATACCAAATTAAAGTCTAGCTCTAATTCTAATTGAATGAACATTTTAATTTATGATAAAACTCCAAAATAAAATAAAATTCAGTTTAGGGTCAAAGTTTAATATTTAAGTTAAAATCCAATTTTAACCATAATATAGAAAGTCGTCAATTTTTGATAAAATCTTAAACGAGAAAAAATCCTCTAAAAATTAAATTTAAAACCTTTTCAAAATTTATATTTAAAACGTTTTGAAAATTGAAATTTGACGCCTAGTTTTAAAACTATGAACAGGTCCTTCACGTTTATTATTTGCACGATAGGTCCTGTACTTTAAAATTGCAATTTTAACCCCTTGAAATGAAATCACTGGAAACCCTAGAATTCTCTTCAAATCTTCTGGCCGAGTAGTGTCGTGTGCTACTGTTGCAGCAGGCCCAGCACAGTCGTTCCAAGCAGCAGAGATGAATGCTGCAGACACACATCAGTGTCCAACGCTACGGCGCGCGCGAAGCATCCTATGTCGCCGACCATTCCTCCCAATCCCATTTTTGACAAACAATTAATTTTCTTTCAAAAACATATTTTTAAAGATGAAAATAAATTTTCTAAATTGCTAGATTCAAAAGAAATTATGAATAATCAACTTTTGATTGTCCCAAGATGCAAAATGATTTCTAACAATCACAAAGTAGACTCTAATACCACTGTTGGAAATTTACTCTATCATAAATAGCAAAATTTAAAACATTTTTTGCTTTACGTTTAGATAGAAATTATGATAAGAATTATAACTTTAGTTAATTTTCCTAAGAACTATAACAATCTACAATTCGCAGATGTTCAATTGCTTAGCCTACAATGAAAATCCAAACAAGGAAGAAGATGACAGAATCGAAGTTTCTCTTTTCTTGTGATAGCAAAATAAATTATGTTATGTTTTCTGAATTACAATTAAACTTGGATCATGAATTAATTAATTTGTCCCATTAATCAGTCCCAATAAATTAATTGTGCAAATGTCCAACGTCGATCAATTAATTAATTAGCATCATCATTGTTCTAGTTCTTTTTTGTGTGATCCATTGGATTCTTGATCACGATGCCTAATGATGTGAATTATTATTTTGTCCTAATCAAAATAAGATAAATTAAATCACTCTTTTAATTTATCATTAATTCACCTAGATCAATCACTTTGCATTTTTTATCCAAGATTGAGATCTAATAATGTGTCGGTGAAGCACATGTGACAGAAAATGTCACGTGGTATAACAAAACTAAAGTTGTTCTTTTATCCCGAGACTATAATTCATTTATTAATATGATCCAATTATAAGACATGAAATGTGTCAATCTCAATTATCGAATTATATTTTTCATTCCACTATTAAGTCAATGTAAGTCAAAAACTGTTTTCGACTTGAGTACACATTGGCCAAAGATTTCATTATCAAATTAATTGAATGAAAATGTAGATCATAATCTCCTACTATTTAAGTGTAATGAATCCACTATTGATTATTTACAACCTTCATACGATTCTTAACATGACTGGATGACGCCGTATTAGCTACTCTTGGACGAACAACATCCAACATTATCAAGTCATTATTATTCTCATATAAAACACTATCATGACCTTAAGTCAAATGACCAACTCCACCATCCAACATTGGAGATTAATCACCACCACTTAGATAGTTATCAACGTAGAATTATTCTAGTAGGTCTCCATTGTTTTGTTATTTTAACAAAATATCGACGTGTTCATCTAAATGACACCATATTTTAGCTTGTAAAATCAGTTACTCACTTTACAAGTGAGAAATGACACACTTGATGGTCTATTCATAATAACAATATCCGTATATCGTTATTACTTAAGACCATTAATAATTTAAGATTGATTCATATGTAATTTATTTATCACTAACACAACTTCTTATGATTAACAACTTAGTAGGATTTGAATTTACGGAATCTATCAATATAATTTATATGAAAATTAATTCAATAAAATAATAAATCTTGCCATAAATAAATGCATTAAATAGATTAAAAGTGTTTACAACCTAAATCGATTGAACCTAGTACATAATACTAATGCGATTTGCATTCTTAAGTTAGGTGAATCCTCTGGATTGTGTAGAGGATGACAGAATTAGATAGTATTTGGTCTGAAAACAAACACTACTTGTCCAGGGCCCATCTGGCCGTAGACGTATGGCCTCTCTCATTTGGTTTCATCGATAGAATTAGAATGAATTTTTTTGGTTTCAATCAAGCTCCCAAATGCATTTTGAATTCCTAACGATTTTCCACGCCTGCAAGGTGTTAGTTGAAATGTCTCAACTGGCATAAGTTGATTTTGAGTCTTAGTTTTCGTACAAATCATATGTGGTCCACTACATTGCATTCCGTTGTACAATTTTGAATTTTATTGCATAATCACGATGATGCATTGACATGACCACACTACACATGGAAGGTTTCCGTTCATTGCCTCCATCCATTATTTCTGTCCCATATTTCCATCCTCCTCCGTTCACGCACTTGTTGGTCTGTTTAAGTTTTAATGCGCTTGTCATATTCTTTATGTATAACTAATTTCAAGTTGTCTATCTTATTTGAATGTACAATGGCATCCAAACGGAGATTATACATTGAGGAAAATTTATAGTTTAGATTTGTTGGCGATTGACATCAATATTTAATATGACGTCTATATTTAATATTTTACGATAATTAGTATTTTGTGTGATTTGATTTGCTTGTTATTGTTTTCCATATATAAAGGAAAATATTAAAATATTGAAAAAATTCAAAAAAAAATTATTTATTTATTGTGTTCTTAAGTAAAACATGTGTTGTCATCTTCTAGATTGTTTTTGAAACATATTAATAAAAAGGGATTCGAAATTGAACTGGATTATTCAATGGAGATTATTCAAGAACAATCACGATTCAAGGAATTAAGTCTTTTTGTCTTGTTCTTCGTAAAATTAAAATTCAACTAATATCTCATTATTCAAATATGTATTTTGTAACTTTGATGATGCTCGTTTAAGTTTATAGTCACTAGGATGAAGATGAACCCTTTGTTATGAAAATATTTGGTGTTTGTTTATCCTCGATGGTTGTTATAAGTTTAAGACTTCCGATTACTTAGCTAAAAATTGAGTTGAGTTGTAATCATTATTTTATTTTAAAGAAACAATAAAGACTTAGCACTAGATATAAATCGTTATATGGTACGATAGGAGATAGAGATATACCGATATGTCTTGTATGATCTAATTGAACGTCGAGTAATTGAATGCATCTACAAATGTTCGTAATCTTCACAGCAATATCGTAGATCATGTGTGAAGATATGTTTAGTTCTAATCGAGAAACATTATAAAATTGTTACATTGATCATTAAGACAAACATGTGTTGTCATCTTGATTATTTTTGAAACATATTAATAAAGAGGGATTCGAAGTTGAAGTACTTTTTGGATTTTGAGTTGGATGACTGAATCGTCTTATTGGCCAACAGGTTTCTCAAAAAGCCCCAGCCTATTATCACCCAACATAGTTTTATTAGCTAAATTCTTGTACTCAGACCATGTGAATTCCTCATAAAGTTCTTCTTCTCCTTCTTCCATTAGAGAGGATAAAGGTGTAATCTTTGTACTCAAAGGTGGCCCTCCAAAGTATACCATTGACACTCTTGATTTTAACCTATGAGCCAATACTCTATGCTTCACGCTTCTAAACCTGCCATTGGTAATTACCTGCACCAAACCAATTTCATAATAACCTTGTCAGACTTTTCACGAGTTCATACATACACGGGAGCATTAACATGGATTATAAGAAGAATAGATATATAAAAACAATGACACTTAGTATAATAAAAATTACTATAAGACAGCATACAACGAAGCAAAGCCGGAGTACTGTCTAGCTCAACGAAGATGGTATAAGGTATATACAGAGAGGATGCAGTAAAGATAAATTACAGCAAATTAAGATATACGGAAAGCAAAATCTCTTCAAGTGGTACAAGTAAAATACAGTGATAATTAATTTCCCTTGATCTTGAAAAAAAAAAAAAAAAATTCTCTTCCAAACCTAATTTATCTAAACTCATTTTATTGAGTGACAAATGAAATAAATGGCAAAATGTACGGTTACCTGCATGGAATCCCCAACATTGAAGAAAAAGGAGGATTGATCAGGTGGGACTGAGACCCATGTACCGTCTCTCATACAGATTTGAAGGCCTGATGTGTCGTTAGACCTTACAACAGAAATTATTTGTGGGTCTGTATGTTCTCCAAATCCGATCAAGTTTTCACCACTCAATGCTTGACGCTCTGGGCATGGTGGATAATGATTCACCCGAAAACAAGAATCACTTTTTTCATCCCTTATCAGACTACTCAAGACATCCTTCGGTCCTATTTTGAGTTCTTCAATTATCATTTCCAAAATAGAACACGTCATGTTTTTTACTGCTGAGACGTATTCATTTATTAGAGACCTACACACACACCCCGACATACGAAGATTAAGATAAATTTTTACTTTTTACTACGTAAAGAAAAAAATAGATAATATTGTGTCCGAAAGTTCTTTTACCATAAAATTTCTGAACTTCCTGGAAGCACGACTTGAGCATCCTGTGAAATAATCTCCGGCCTAGTGCTCAGGAGTATGTACTCAACCCAACCCACATCATTGTTTGGGCCAATTTTTCTGTAACCATAGCCGAAAGCGTTAGGAGGGCCATATTTTTCTTTATCCAGTCGGGGTAGATTGAAAAACTTAATGGCTTCACATTCCAATCTACTCATGAACTCCATTGGGACGCTATGGTTGATTACTTTGAAAAATCCAATCTCTTTGCAGGCCTCGACTATTTGGGTTTTAGCATCAGGATCTAGTAGATCTACCACAGGAATTCCGTGGAAAGTGCTTGAAATGGGCTTGCATGTATTGTTGCAAGCTAAGTTGTCAACTGTCTGAGATAAAATCTCCATGCCAATTGCACAGTGCTTGTAGGAGGGAGGGGTAGAGAGAGGTTAATGAGGTGTACTTGTTAACTGGAGTTCAAATGGGCAAAATGCTCATGCACAAAATGATATAAGAATTCACGGGGCATTGAAAAATAAAAGGATATTGTTGGGTTTTGATATCCAATAAATTTGGGGCGATGCTGTAATTTTCATTGACCGAGGCCAATGACAAATTGATTATCAACAATCAAGTCTAAAGGCTCGACCCAAGAACAACATGGACCGTTGGAAGTAGTTTAAGGAATTAATGTTACTTACGGCCTATATATTTAACTATTGGATGGCTCTTGAGTTTTGGCCCATTTATCCCTTATTTGGCCCAAATTGATAACCTAATGTTAGACTATATAGCCTCCTTCATTTGCATTAAAACGTATGTGATTTGTGAGTAAAAGAAGAGAAAAACGTGGCTTCCCAAATTGAGGGCGAAAACCAGCAAATTGTGCTCCAATAATTGGTGGCTACCTCTATGTCTTTGGCCTCCTCTTTTGTGCCTTTTTTCATCGGTTTTCTCTTACCTTTGTGGCTTGAAATTCAACATCGATATCTTGTCCTTTGTAGGTAAGATTGAGAAGCAACCATAGGTGAATATATTGGCTGAGGGTCGGAGTCGCTTGGTTGGTTGTTTGGTAGAGAAAGATAACGTGAAACTGAACTTGGGAATCACCGTTTTGAAGATCTTGGAGCGAGCTTCCACAACAATTTGTATCAGAGCTCCTATGTTTCGACAAAATCAAACAAAAAAACATATCCAAAACCCAGGGGAAAAAACAAAAAAGCAGAAACGAAACTTTCCAGTTTTTTGAAATCTGATTGGATATGTTTTCTTTTTTTTTTTGGCCAATCCAGTGACTTGTTGGTGAAATGGAGACCACTGACGCGATGTGTAGATGGAAGCGATCCTGATGGTGTGGAGCATGGCAACCACGCGTAGAGGTTCCTTGTGCCGCGTGAAGGCGCGTTCGAAGTTTTTCAATAATATTGTCGTCAATCAGTTTGTTCCCAACATCATTTGACATTTTGTGGTGTTATTATTATTATTATTTTTTGTTTCAGGTTATACAGTGTAATCTGGACAATTCTGCCCATTGCGCATTTGGAATTCAATCGTCTTTGATGGATTGCATTAGTTGTTGGAGCTTTAGGGTGAATAGTGGTGGCCCTAAAGTTTGATAAATTCACATCCATCATTATAGATTGTAGATTGACCCTCTCCAATAAATTAGTTTATCCCATTTAAATTTCAGCATAACAAATCATCGTGTGAGATGACATTAGGATTGTGATTATCGTGTCGGGATAACCATTGCATTGGGTGAAAAATTGCATTTTTGTTGACATACCTTCATGTTGCATTTATTATTATGTTAAAATACCTAGACTTGACTCATTTGATCATTCCTTTCATATAGAGATCTCGAATATTACAAAATCCTAGAAATCTAGAACGGTTTATACTACTGTCTTAGGATTACTTTGTGTGACTTATTGTGCACTTTAGCTATTCTATTTGCAAAATGTCTTTACATTTCGAAGTTGAAATTTTTAATGGAAAAATGGATTTTTTGATTTGACAATAAAAGATGAAGGAGATTTTAGTTCAACAAAAAGTTTTGAAAGATGAAGATGACAAATTTCTTGTTGCTTTGACAAAAGTACAAAAAAGAATATGATGAACTTACTTCCACTTAATTATTTTACACCTATCTGATATTGTTTTTAGAAAAATTGAAAATTTTGATTTTACAAAAGAACTTTGAAAAAGTTTAGACGACTTATATTTGGTTAAGAATGTAATTAAGTATAGTAGAGACATCTTAACACCCGAGATCGTCATAGATTCCTTTATGAGTAAGTGGATGGAGCTTAAAACTAAAAATATGATAAGAGGAGTGGTGTGATATATATGATAAGAAGTAGAATGAAGTTTAAGCAAATGAGTCTGGGTAAGGCTCAAGATAGTAGTGACTTGAATGATGAGGGTGATAAAAAGAAGAGCAAGGGTTGGGACAAGTTCCGTAGTAAGCGGTGTTACAACTATGGAAAGTTTGGACACTTGTGAGGGATTGTTCCAAGAAGAAGGATAAGTAGAAGGCTAAAATGACAGGTGAGGTGAATGTTGCTTTTGGGCTGAATGATGACCCTAGTGAGGTTTGTTAAAAATAAATTTAGTTACTGCATGTGCATCTGAATATAATCCTTTTTACATGTGTGTGATTACTTAATTCAGTTGCATGGTTATATGTTGCATTTTCAATATGTTTGATATGTGCATTTGTATGAATTTGAGATCAGTCCAATTATTTGGTGTAATGTGTTTGCATGCATAGTAAGTTGGGATGCAATCGCAGTAAGTTTGTTGCATGTCTTCTTGGTAAGCTGGAGTACAAATACATAAGGATACATTGATGGTTTGTATCAAGGATGTAGATTGTGACGTTTAGACATGAGGTGGTGATAGAGGATTATCTCGTGTACTTAGTATCTATTGTGATTTACTTGTCAGACATAAGTTAGTGATCAACACAGTGAGCATGACGGATGATGAGAAGAGATATGTGTTCTCGGGATGTGAGCAATACAGAATGTGATAGGATATGACATGACCAGTCTCGAATCAACCTAATGGACCTGACACGCGTCGTGCGCCGATGGTAGATGCTAGCTATGTGCTGGATACACCACTAAGGCAACCTTGACCTGTTTTGACTGTGATACATTTAAAAAAAAATTGGCAGAGTTTCTTTTAAGATATGGACTAAAACCACCTGAATAATAATCAACTTTTCTCAAACATATACACATAATATAAAACAGGGTACACCAACCCTCATAATACCAACTATTGAGAATAAAGTGCACAAAAATGAAATTTACACTTCTGAACAAATCAAAAGACTCTAAAAGCCCAACATAATCAAAAGATACCAATTGTGCAATGAGCCCATGTTATGGTTACATTTTCTGACAAAAATGCTTGTATCCAAAAATATGAACTATCTAAACTGACAAAATGAGTCATACATCTGATGACAATGTATGGCTCAATCTGTAGATCAATATGCTCCAATGTTGCTCAACTATGCTACTATCTAATAAGAAAAATGGTGATAAAACATATGAACTTGTAGCTCAGTGAGTGGATAATTTGCAAATAAGTATATTTTTTCCATATATGTATAAGTTCTGAAAATTCTTGCTTCATTAAAACTTTGAGAAATTCTGAAATCTAGTATCACTTTTTAAACTATGACATAATTGTATTACAAAATTCTTTGTCCTTTATTTTAGATAAGTAGCTATAAAGTATAACGAATATAAATAATCTGATATTTATGAAAATCCATGAAATATTATTGTTGTTCAATACTCTAAGTTGAAGCTTTATTCTGAGAACTGAATAAACTGAAATTTGATAAAGTATAGAAATATTGAAAAATCACGCCAAAAAGCTACACAGAATAACCTTACTCATGTATCGATTAGTGCCAATATACATGGCAAAGCTATTCAATTTTGAAATTCTGTAATTCGAGTCATGGGCGCACAGCTACACAAAGGCTATAATGTGGTCATACACTATGGAAACATTTACAATAGTGCAAAGTGGGTAAAATCATCATAACTGATCATACACTGAAACCATATTCACACCAGTGCAGAGTGGGTAAAATAACCATATGAGGTTATACACTATGGAAACACATTCACACCAGTGCACGTTAAGGTAAAACCACCTGGGTACTTTCTAGTGTTTTTTGTTTTTAAATTACTTTGGATATACTAAAACAGGTAATACTCATATAACATGCTAATGAAATAATTTTACTGAATTGAATTTAACTTTTGAAAAGAATTAACTATAAAATCCACTGTATTCTAAAAATCATTCTATCAACTTAGCTTATAAAATAGGTAACTTTAAATTTAAGGGATACTTCTTTCTAAAAAATAGATTTTTCCATTCACCTAAGACAAGCTATAAGCTATGAAGGGCGATAAGCTTTTCCAAGCTTTCACGTCACTAACTCTTGAAATAGAATAGAACAAATGAAGAATCTTGTACTTGAGTCCATATTTCATCTTCTTCAATAACCTTTTTTCTTCATCTTCTTTTTTTCTCTTATTTCCTTCCCCCTTTTATTTCTTTTCTTTTTCTTCCATCCTTCTTCTCTCCTACTTTTTTCTGGGTTTCTAGTTCTTTCCAAAAAGAGAAAATGGATTACTTATCCTTTAAGTGGATAAATATTGTATACTTACAAGTCAAGTACCAAACATCAGCACATAAGGTAACATTTAGTCCTTTAATTAAAATAATAAAACATTGACTCTCTAAATTTTTATTTGATATTATTTCTGACCCTTTAATCCTGAGTAATTACAAATTAGGCCCCATGAAATTATTTTACTTAATTTAAGTCCTCATTTGACTCTGACTTTGACCAATAGAATTTTTGACTTTAAGTGAATAAGATGCAACAATCTTATCCCCTTCAAAGAATTTCATCTTTAAAATTCAATCATCTTGAATTCAAAATACATAAAGTATAAAGTATAGGTAATGAATGAATTTTTTTAGCAACCTTTAACTGGAACAATTTCATTCTTTCATAGCTTGCATCTCATTTTGTTTTTTTCTAATTGAGCTATCGTTGACTTCACTAGTAATCTTAAAGCACCAGGTAAATCTGACATTTACTTACTAAGCTTTTGAAATAGACAATACATTCATTCTTAAATACCAGATAAACCCATTGTAAAATCCATCACTAACCAATTGTACCCAAGTTCTAAATAACATCTCAAAGACTAGCTTGGGTAAGAGAATCGAAAAACTGACCAAATCAATCAAATCGAACCGACTTAGGTCGGTTCAACACAAGTAATTGTTAGGATTGGTTTGGTTTTCTTTTAAACAAAATCATGGTAGATCAATTCAGTCGTGATTTAAAATTTTAAATAGTTGGTTAACTGAACCAACCCAACCTACTTATGTGTTCACCATTTAAAAAAA